TAAACTTGTCGCACAGTATGCTCCCATCCCCTGGACACGCAGGAGAGTGTGGCGTTGTCTCGCATTGAAAAGGAGAACGGGATCGAAGCGGGGACACTACTCAGTGTCAGGTGGATCAAGGCGATAGAGAGACGTCACCCCGAGCAGCAGACCGCGCATTTGCGAGTCGTGGCCGCACGGTCGGCGAAAGCTGCTAATGCAATCATCCGAAAAGGGCTAACCCTCAACAGCAAGCGTGTAGACATCCGAAAGGACTCCACAGACCCCATCCGCTGCGCCAAGCAGTGCCAGCAGTACTCCCCCTTCCATCTCCCCCAGACATGTCCGGCACACAAAGACACCTGCGCCACCTGCTCAAAGACCCACCGCACAGCCGAATGCCCCATATCGATCCGCAACACCGACTCCCACTGTTGTACTACCTGCAAGGAGGCTAAGAACGGTGCAGAAGACGGCCACGCGGCTTAGAGCAAGACCTGCCCTGTCTACCTTGATCAGGTCCGGCTTAAATCACTGCAGGCCGTGGACTCGCAATACCGCTACTACGTCACCACGGACCCGGAGACATGGGAGAAGATCTCCAACTTTGCTCTACCGATACCAAACCCAGTCGGCAGGTCCCTCCCAGACCTACATAGCTGCCAGCACGGAGCGGGGACGCGCGTCGCGCGTCGGGCATGGGCGCTACAGCTGCGTGCAGAAAGCTTGTCCAGGCGCTGAAAAACGCGACGCGCGTCGAAAATTAAATCGAAATTGGTCGGAAAATCGCCAGCGGTGATGAGCACGTTTCTTCTCCCTCTCTCCCTCGCTGGCTCGCCCCGATGGCCCTGAAAACTTGAAAATCGCGTCGCGCACGCACTCAGGTACGAGCGGACGCTTTTCCGCGTTCTCAACGACTGAGTTGACGCATCGCGCGGCAGGTTGGGGTGGGGCGGTCATGGTCGACGATCTCGCCTCTGTTAATCACCTCGAAGTGCGTCAAGCCCTGCCGGGATATGTGTAGGGCGTGGAAGAGGCCTTTACAGGTGAGAATCAACTGGTTTCAACCCCTTCTGCATTGCTCTGGAGACGTCATTTACCCCCGGCGACTGTCACTTTCTTCCGAATCCCCGATGAGTCCGAGCGCGAGCGCACTGTGAATGTATTACTATATCTACCATTCCTTGGGTCCCAGACCTTGGATATGCATGTGCTGTGTGAGCCTTTTGATTCAAAAGTCGCACCCTTGCTCGTAGGGCTGGAGAAGTGTTCGATTGATGGGGTGAAAGGAAGGTATGCATACGTCTACAAGTTACAACTATCATACAGTTCCTTGTGCCTATACGTAGTTCTAATGCGAACGATGCAACTCGCATAAGAGATAGACGAGCAGCTCACCGAGACCGGCATCCTCTCATTGCGTGAACTGAGTACTCGCCCGCTGCTGCACCTCCACGGCACCAGCAGTGTTCATCCTCCAAGGTTTTGACAGATGCAGAGACTGGATGGATCACAGAGAGGTGAATCCGTGTCTTGCTCATGTAGCGTGGCCATTTGAAGCACGTCGAGGTGATTAACGGAGGCGAGATCGTCGACCATGACCGCCCCACCCCAACCTGCCGCGCAATGCGTCAACTCAGTCGTTGAGAACGCGGAAAAGCGTCCGCTCGTACCTGAGTGCGCGCGCGACGCGATTTTCAAGTTTTCAGGGCCATCGGGGGGAGCCAGCGAGGGAGAGAGGAAGAAGAAACGTGCTCATCACCGCTGGCGATTTTCCGACCAATTTCGATTTAATTTTCGACGTGCGTCGCGTTTTTCAGCGCCTGGACAAGCTTTCTGCACGCAGCTGTACGATAATCCCCCACTGCTCACACATCAGCACGCATAAATGGATCATACGGAAAACTGTCATTGCTTCATGGTCTAAATACTGCGACAACCTTGCGTTGTGCGACAAATACAATCGCGGGCTGGGTGCGGTGGGTAACGAGACAGGGGCATTGCAACATGTCGGTGCGGATCCAACGGCGTGTGACTCAGCGAGTCGGGCATAGTGATCACTGCGTTGCTTGCGGGGTGCGTGTGCGGTGTGTGCCGGGCGTATACCGGTGGTGCAAAAATGCTCAGTGGGAGCGTCGCGCGGGTACCATACTGCGCGTGGAGGTTTGGGACAGGTCGTCATGCGAGGACACGTGCGGGACGTACGTCGCGCAGTCAGGGATGATCACGCGCGGGGTGAGCGGGGTGTAGGCTGAAGCACTGACGGCGATCGGCTTGAGGAGTAGGAGGAGGAGGAGGAGGAGGAGGAGGAGGCGGGTGAAAGTTATGAGGGGGAAGCAGCCGTCGCACTCACCACAGACGCTGCACATGAGCGCATGGACAATTTAATGTTCAGCAGCTGTCGTGGAGCGTTAGAAACCCGCACCCACCCAGGGGCCAGGCGCGCCCGCGAGTCGATGACCACATCGCACTCAATCTTTGCGCCCAGCATCTGGTAGTAGAGAGGAGTCACCGTCCGAACGGGGTCGATGGGTCGGATGTGTTCGACGCGGGGGACATTGACATCGATATGGAAGGCTCCGGGGTATAGGAGATGCTCGGCGCGCCGTACAAGCTACGCGAGGAGCCCGCGCAGCGGGGTGGGGTGCCAGCGTGGATGGTAACGGGAGGAAATATGGGTTTTGGCAGCGAAGCGGAAGGTGGTTGCTGCGTCTTTTTGGTGAACGCAGACGCGACGATGTAGGGAGTGGTGGGGTGCATTGGTGATGACGCTGGAGATGGGAGAACGTACGTATTACGGCCCGCGTGCGTAAGCAATGAAGGCGACAAGGGGACTCACGGTCACTGTTGGTGCAAGCTCGAGCCAGAGGGCCAGATAGCGGACTGTAGCCGCTTCTTGAGCAACAAGGGATAGCAAACAGTACTTGAAGGGACCAGAGATGGCAGTCATGGGGGGGCGGAGGGGGCCTGAGACGAAGCTAGATGGTGCTTGTGGCAGCCGAAGTGCGCAATACTTAGCGTGTGCCAGAGGCTTGATGGAGAGGAATAGTGGTATGCTGGGGACAAGATGAGGCAGGGAGCGTGGAGGAAGCGAGAAGACGACCTGAACTTGATCAATTATTGTATCTCGAAAAAGAGGGTGCTGCATAGGGTAGACTGGACGGAAGTTCGGACTCGCGCGCGACTCGCGAAATGAACACTGAATGTGGGCAAGACGCGATCACGGGATATGGTCGCCATATGTACTACAGCTGCGTGCAGAAAGCTTGTCCAGGCGCTGAAAAACGCGACGCGCGTCGCGAGAAATGGGAAATTAAATCGAAATGGTCGAAAAATCGCCAACGGTGACGCGAGCGCGTTTCTTCTCCCCTCCTCCCTCGTTAGATCCCCCCGACGTCCATAGAATGTTGAAGAGCGCATCAGGCGCGTGTTTGGGTATGGTATGACGCTTTTCCGCGTCCTCGACGGCCAAGCTGACGTGTTTCGGGCAGACTGTGGTCTGGTGGTGGTACACGACCCGTCTGCCACCTTGCCCCCCCTCGAAACGTGTCTGACGATGTATAGGAAGCTGAATATATTCTTATGGCTGAGTTCTTGGGCGGTTTGACGTCTCCTGCGCCACACCGAAGACGTCATGTACTCCCCGTGACCGGAGCCTACTTCCAGAATCGTGGGCGCAACCACATGGTCCCTGATTCCAGACGGCCTCTCAAGTTTCGCATAAGTAACAGGTGCCTATTGAACAGTTGGTGTCGCTCGGAGGGCTGGGTGAACACTCGAATGGCAAGGCGAAACTGGAAGGCATATACATCCTACAAGTACTGTACATCCCCCTCTATCTATGGGTTTATGAGAGCCCTCCAGCTCGTTACCACCCAACCAACTGTTCCGCGTAATGAGGACTTGAAGCATCCTCGTGACAATGAAGCTGGGAGCACGAAGCGAGGACGGCAGTGTCTGTGAGAGCGCGAGCTGCACCGTGAACTACCACGGACTCTCCCAATGTAGCCACAAAAATCCGGGCATACAAACGTCTTACGCCATAGATCACAGCGACAGTATAACTATGCTGTGACGACAGGGGGGACGCATGATATCAATGGGGCACTCACCGAAGGCGGCATCCTCTCTTGAGCACACGTACCCACCCGCTCCTGCACCTCCGCCAACGCCTTCTCGACAGTCGCCATAGATGTGACAAGTTCCTTGCATCGCAGACGCATGCTTCATGGGCACGATTTCAGCCTCGGGGTGGCTCACGGGGCGCCAAGGTGGCAGACGGGGATAAGATCGTCGTGTACCACCAGGCCCCGGGCAACTCCCGCAAATGTCTGTCCGGCCGACCCCCGAAAATCGGCCTCGGCTAGGTTAACTCTCGGGCCAGAGCTAGGTTACAACGGACAGACCTCTGGAAGCGCACAATTGGCGCCCATCACGTGATGGGCAGGCCGCGCGTCGTCGCCCAAACAGCGAGCTACTCAAGTACTCAACTTTCCTTCTTTCCACAACATGCGAAGAGGGTAAGAGAACTTCTGAACGTGTAATTACGTGAATTTTAAGGCCCCATTCCCCTGGACAATCCAACCCATGTCTGCGCTTACCATCAGGCTGCTCCCGGTTAACGGGGCGAAGTTGGGATGAGCTCTGCGGCCTAGCTACCCACTGTTCGTCCACTATGAGTGCTATCCCTCGTCCTCGTCGTGCGCATCAGGGAGGGACATCGTGCTTTTACTCCTGGGTCCGCAGCGTGCCTCCTCCCCAAAGTTCTCGCCCAGATCTCTCAGCTCTGGCTGGGTTCCGAGTGAGTTTCTCATCTTCAATCATAGTCTCTTTCAGCGCTCACGCTCGGACGTTGTGGGACCCGGGCGTGCACATTTTTGCGCTCGCGATGTACTCGTACGTGCTCTACGCGAGGCCTAGGAAGATCCCGCCGTTCTCGGCCGTGGCCCACGCCCTTTCTCTGCGAGCACCACTCCGTCCCCCTTGTCCAGCCCCTCCCGCTTTGGAAGCCGAGCGACGCGATGAAAGAGGGCGAGCTGGACGTGTACTGCCCCAGATCCTTCCTGGATGTGTACGCCGTACGCCACTGGTGAGTACCATCACTGCTATGACCACGACCAAGACTCATCTAAAGATGGGCAGCCCCGGCGAAGAGCAAGGCATCGGAGCGGCTCTCATCCACTGTGTGCGCAGGCAGGTCCAGTATGGACTCGACATGGATGTCAACGAGCCCATCAACGCCGTCTCGAACGTGGACGATGAAGAGCACGAGCCGGACAACGCGCCCGCGGCGAGCTCAATGGATGCGGACGCGGACATCGAGCGGACGTACTCGAGGATCTTCCTCACCGACGGGGTAGTGTACCTTCCTCCGTCCGCTCTCCGTCGTTGACACTCGCTCCTCCCCGCTCACACAAACGGACAGCCTAGCTCCGCCGCGCATATGCGCTCATTGGCCGCGTCTGTCCCAGGGGTGTGGCCTTGTCTTGCTTGTCCGCATTGAGGTCCCGCTAGCGGGCTGCGGCGGTGCCCCCACACCATCACCTTCCGCGGGTATGTCGTCTGTTGCCGGTGGGAGCATGCTTGCTGGCGGCATGCACCTGGTGCGGGGCGGGGGCGCGCCTCGGGTCCGAGCGCAGATTGCTGATGGGCTGGGGAGCGGTGGGCGGGTCACGTTCGTGCGCCGTCGAATCCGCGATGTGACAGTGTGTGTAAGTACTGTGTATAATCACACAATATATACATGACTATTGATTACACGTATTCTGAGCTTACGGGTTGTCGTGGGTCCCTGAGGGTTCAAACGTTGACTCTGCGGGTGCACGGGTCACGGGTCATCTGAGTATGACCCACACCCTTACCTGTGGCAGCACGGGTGGCCCCCAGTGGTTGAACAAGACAGTGCTTAATCCATAACGGTGGGAATACCGCTAGGTCTATGTTTGAGCACGTGCACGGCCACTGTTATGTTCTCTGAGATCGCCGCCAAGCGCCCGCCGAGCAGCCCATTGTCGCCCTTGAATAGGTTACTGGCGGACAGACGTCATGGGCGCTTATCCACATCGGGGGTGTTCGCTAGGTTAAAACGGACAGACCCTCCTGCCTAATATGGGTCTATTTCTAGGTTTCCCACGGACAGACATCTGGGGGAGTTGCCCGGGGCCTGTACCACCACCAGACCACAGTCTGCCGCGAAACACGTCAGCTTGGCCGTTGAGGACGCGGAAAAGCGTCATACCATACCCAAACACGCGCCTGATGCGCTCTTCAACATTCTATGGACGTCGGGGGGATCTAACGAGGGAAAGGGGGAGAAGAAACGCGCTCGCGTCACCGTTGGCGATTTTTCGACCATTTCGATTTAATTTCCCATTTCTCGCGACGTGCGTCGCGGTTTTCAGCGCCTGGACAAGCTTTCTGCACGCAGCTGTACTGGTCGGGATCCAGTCGAAAGTACCATTACTGGCTAACTACATTAGTGTTGCGACGGCTCGGCTTCGGGCGGCCCGGGCGAGCCAAAAATGGAGTCATGGCTCCAAAAATTGGCTCTGATGACCTAAGCCACGTCCGAGCCGCCACGAGCCGCCACGAGCCGCCGTCTTCAGTTGGCGCCCAGGACGACACAAAGATTTGTGCTTTGTGAAGCAACAGAGCCAAAGGCGGGTGGAAGAATCACTTTTTATGTACTACCATGGTGTATAGGAAGTTTTGAGATTGTTGAAAGGATGATTGGACGAGGTCGACCAAACACCCAAATTTCATGCGAAATCTCAGATCTGTGTGCAGGCTGCAGTCGTCATCGATCCCCATTGCCCAGGTCCCGGTCGGGCGCCCAAGCGCTAAGCGCTCATCAAAGCCTCAACAGCCCATCACATGATCACTCATTGGCTGCTAATGAATCTAATAATAGGCGATAGTGGCAAACCCAACACTGTTATCAACTCCAGAAGGCCATCCGTTAGTCATCACTATTAGGCTCACCATCCCATTTGCGCGTGTTCCAAGTCGCTGCCCATTAACTTGTGGCTGCGTAGTACTTCTGTCTGGTTCGCTTTCTCAGGCAGAACCAGACGGAACCAAATCGCGGAATTACTGATAGTAAATGAAAGCCCTTTTGTCATGGGCTCTGGGCGCGGCGAGAATGAATAATGCAGAATGTAAAGTAATAGACTGAAGTAGTTTCTGCATCTTGTTGTCTTACGCACACAGATCCTTTCCTCGTTTTCGTTCTTTCGCTTCGCATGCGACCGTCACACCTGTCTCCGGACTTTCCGACGTCCAGAAAACCGATAATACACCGGCTGTACAATTTGTGGCGATGGTTCTGCGCTCAGACCTTCAGACCTCAGGCCACAATTGTCAGTGTTATATATGATGTCATGGGCTTGGCTACGCTCCATTCTATTACTTTACATTCCGCATTACTCATTCTCGCCGCGCCCATGACAGCGTCCTTATTGGAGCTCCACATCTCCTATCTACAGTAGTACTTAGTCTCCGCATTCGCATTGTCTTATGCTAGCGAGCAACACAGCTCTTTCCCCCGTTTCGCCCTTCCGCTCCGCGCGCGACCGTCACATATGACTTCAATCATCCTCCTTCACGTCACGGTAAAAACGGCGCCACCAACTCGGCAACGACGTGGCGTCCTTTTCCCAAGCTCCGTCTGTACCTATGACAAGGTGCCCGAGGGCAGCGCGGTCGTGGAAGACCAGTCTTTCTTCACGACCCGGTCCTCTTCTCGCCGCGGAATACAGACCTCTCCGAGTAATATATTTCGCTAGAAAATGCCACATCCCACATAAACGCTCCCGTTTGCCCTTCTATCGCCCCCTAATATCTGAATACACGAATCTCGCTGTTCCACCTGCTCAACTCGCAACCCAAAGCCCCCAGCTCGTGCTCATCCGGGCAATGTTAATGAGCGCCCCTCCCGGATTGACCTTAGTCGCTGACTAGGACATAGTCCGCCACTCTCCCCACTCTTCGCAGTATGCGCCTCGCCGCTCAAGTACACCCCCTTCTGCTTCATTCCACTACTACTGTTGCATCGTCTGATTGTCTCAACTTCCCCCTCTGATTCCAGTATCATTACCATCCGGCTCGCAACGCATCCCACACTCGCATCCCACACTTCCCGAGCGACTTGCCTCTGCTCCTGTTTCCTTGCACGCCTCCGCCTTTTCTGCAACCCCTTCTCTATCCAACGGCGAACACCCTATCCACTCCATCTGCGATAATGAAACCTCACTGCTTTCGTTATCAATCCAGGATGTCCAAAAGTAAAACATGCTGCAAGCTCGTCGGTGAGTACTCATCTGATTTCCAGTTCATGCCGCGGGCCAGCTGCTCGCGAGCAACTCCGTGCCATTCCCCGCCGACGCACCCTCTCGCGAGGCTCACGCGGGCAAGGGTGCACTGGCGCATTGATCGCCCTCTGATGTCACACATGTCTGCTGCTGTTGCGGGAAATATGTAGAACAGATGTTCATGACGACCATTTTTCCATAGAAATGCCTTCCGACGTTTGGCAAACCGACGATATTCCGGCTGTGTGCCTTGTTACTAATGGAGTTGGTCTCTTGGTGCAGCCTGATCTCAAGCCCGCGTCTGTGTTCGCCACAATCGTCAGCTTCTCTCACTGATATCGCTCCACTCCCTCTTCAACTGCGAGAGGATGCATGCTACACTCGCATGCGCCCGAATGCTCTGTCGGCGATAATCTGATTCCTGTTGAGGAGGTCGCGCACGCCAAGATCTCCAGTGTCCTGCGCACTCAGAAGACTGGGATCTGGACGAAGCCGTTAGGCCCGGGATCGTGCAATGTGTCTTCGACGGGCCCTGCCACGCGCGACGACGGCGGGTCGTCGTCGCCCGCGTCTGGAGGAGGCCCGGGCATCTCGCTCGGCGCGTGCGTGCGGTCAATTCCGGTCATCTAAAATCTCTGAGATTTGTCTCAGATTTCTGGTCACCTCTCACCTGTCTGAAACTTCTCAAGTAAGATCAGAGAGTTTCAGAGGTACTGATGCCGCCCCGCCGCCGGCACGAACGCAATGGCCTGTCATATAAATCAACGCTCGCACCGAGCCCGGCTCCCAGTTCTCCCCCCCAGCTTCTTGCCCACGACGCCTGCAGTGCTCACGCATTCTCCCTCTCCCTCCTACCATGCAAACCAACGGCTGGCCCGATGGTCAACCCGACACCTTGGCCCTCATCAGGCGGCCAGCCTGCTGCGTCGAGGCCCACATCCCGGACAAAATTGAATCCAGCTTGCCACTCCGCGAAAACCAAGCCTTCGTCCACATCCGCGCGGCTTTCGCTGCACCCAACCTCTCCCCCGCCGACACTCCCGGCGAACCCGGCTGGGTCATGCCACACCCATACGATGTTCGCGATGTCTCGTGGATGTATGTTGTTCTCCAGGGCGGCTATAGTGTAAGTAATCATCCTCTGGAGCGACGCAGGCCCCCGCCACTGTGCTGATTCTCTCTAGGTGGCATTTCCCTGCACAGACGACGCACGCAACGTCACTCCGTCCGATTGGCCCATGCATTGGAGATACCGTGCGATTTCCGAGGGCGAGCACACCAACCTCGTCTTATCACTGTGCGCCCACAGGGAGGTGAAACTCACCCACAACGGAGGGGAGATATCCGATTCACTATCGAAAGCAGTGACAAGTTGGTGATTGGTGATCTCGGTGGTGATTTCCCCCACACCGTGGATCACCATACAAAGTGTGCATTTCCTCTTTATTTCAATCACCACATTCTTTCTGGTGAACCAGGAGAGCGCCTGCGGAACATCGCTGTACGCCGTGCGCTGTGCCGAACCTTAGGCGCTAGTGTTTACGTGGGCTCACCATAGAAACCGCTGCTCACCGCCGCACAGTGGGCAACGCCGTCGCGCACCACCGTTCTTCTCGACCACCACCCTTGCCATGCCCTTCCTCTGCTGCGCTCCCTAGCTTCGTCTTACGCCGCCTCGAGCTTGTGATCTACTCTCGCTTCCTTCTACCACCAACCCTCCAAATCCTCGGCCTTCCAAAGAACCCGCTTGTCCTAATGCCCACCCCCCGCGCTCACGATCATGTCCTTCGCCCGGCCCGTGTGCACGGTCCCCGACTTTCAATACTCCAAAGAGGATGCTATCTAGCTCCGGCAATACGAGCCAGAGGCGGCCGACTACTAGGGATCACCACAGGCGCGGGTGACCCGCACCGGTTGGCGGGTAAGGGTACCTAGTCCCTCGGGTACGTATGCAGGTGCGTGTCCATCCGTTGTCAGTATCCCGCGACGCGCGAGCTGGTGGCAGTTCATCGAACGGTCCCCCGAAACGACGCTGCCGCTTGTGTCGTAAGGACGTTAAGAAGCGTCGTCTTGCCTGCGCTGGACTCACCCATAAGCGCGGTCAGCCGCCCAGGGCGGACGTAGCCCGAGATGTCTTCGAGCAGCCAGTGCCGCCGCTGGTCTCGCCCTTGGCGATGGGGACGGTGTAGCGGAGGGGAGACGTCGTGCCAGGATCTCTGTCGCGTCCGAGCCGCTGGTGGTGACCGCGGGCGCGGTGGTGCGCGCGCCAGCCTTCAACTCCTCGTTCGCGGTCGCCTCCTCGGCGGCGGCGAAGGCGTCCGACTTTGGTCGTGCGGCGAGAGGGTAAGTCCTGGGTGACGGCGATTCGCGACGCGACCCCTCGCCCTGCTGGAGTGCGCCGGTCGACCTTCAGGGAGGTGCGTGTCGTGCCTAAGCCCGAGTATCGCGCCGTATTGCCATGGTACGTGTTAGCCTTTCATGCGCGATGTATTATTAGCCTCTTACCTTCTCTGTTTTGCCCAATAACACCGTTATCAGTGCATTGCCATATGCTCGTCATCCGAGCGCGGCCTCTCGACGGACCAACGACTTTCATCGCTGGGACTGGGAGAAGCTGTGCATGATCTTCCATGCGGTAGGTGTGCCACGCAGTTTATAATCTGTAGGGTACATTTTGATCAGTACTGTGTCCTTGCAGGCTCTTACGGTGAAACCCGTTCTGCGTTGCTACGAGAATAGCTGGGTCAGCGCCGCACTGGCCCACTCTCGAGAAAAACGAGGACGTCGTGATCAGGACGTCGTCATGTGAGCTGGAAGGGTGCGTTTCTTCGACTCCCCGGATGCCATGCGCCACGGTTGCGCGCACTGGATATGTGCTACGTTTGCGCTAGTATTGCATCGAGCTGTATAGACCGTTGTTCTCCGTGTCTGCACCTCTTTTGTGATTTAGCCGCTACCATAGCTATTTCTGATGTTCAATGGGTATAAATAACGCCTGTGTGATGTGAGAATTTCCGAGAAAACATGGATCTAAGAGCGACATAAGATGTTGATTCAAATTCATCAAAATCACCCACTTCAGCAGTGAAACCCCCCCAGAATCCGAACATCTCAGAAGTGGTGAAAGATGACACTCTAAGTGTCTATTTCCTTGTATTTAGGTCACCAGCTTCGTTGTTGAATCGAGCAAAATATGGCTCAAAGTGAGCATGTAAATCACCTATCATTCGAGACATTACCCGCCATCAAACGGGTACCAAAGTTGGGTCTTTTGAGCGTTAACGCTAGGATTAAATACTCAGACGTGCATGGTGACTGTGTGGGTGAAATTCACCCACTCGAGGGCGCGCAGTGATATGTGGCTTAAGCCAGAGGTCCGCCAACGAATTCATCCGCATCATCGATGCCTTCACGCTGTACACCGCGGCTATGAATCCCCAGGACCTTCTTCTTCCCTTCGACACCTTCCTCCATCTCTTCATTGGCGAGCTCAACGACATTCCTCAAGACGCCGATTGCATGCCTGTCATTCGCCGAATGTCAAACATCTTGATGTATGCAATGCCTCTTGTAAGCATCTCACCGTACGCACTTACCACTATGCACTGACCATGGGTTAGATTGTCCTCAACCTGAACGACGACGACGACCTCGCCCGCGCACGGGACACCATCAGGACGCGCGCATGGGCCTACAGTGGTGATTCGCCAGGTGCATCCGTTGTGACAGCCTACCAGCAGGTGCGGATGTATCTGGTGCCGGCCGGCCCGGTCGCGCTCGACACCGCCTTCCCCAAGCGCGCTCGCGCACCGACGCTGTCCCGAGATGTCCGGACACCAGCGTCTCAGGCGCTGCCACCTGAGCTCGCTGTCTCCGACAGTGAGCTTGCCTCCCTCTTTTTTTCACACCACATCTTGCATATGATTAGTGATAAAAATATATTTGTTAGTAAGCTACTACATAGGTGCGCTAGTATGTAATACCACGCCCCGCGACAACGCGGAGGCAGAGGCAGGGATGAGACAGAGGGTTGGGACAAGGCGGAGGAGGAGGAGGGCGACGTGGACGATGTGAATGCGGGAGACGCGGAGGCGGGCGACACAAAGGCAAGCGAGGCGGAGGTGAGGGACGTGAAGGCGACGGGGAGGGCTCGCGGGGGGACGTGGAGGGCCCGGACGAGGCGGAGCAGGTGGTGGGCGACGCGGGCGGGGGTGCGAGATGCGAGGAGGGAGGAGGCGCAGAGCAGCGAGGGCGGGCGATGAGAGCGGAGAAGGGCCGCGCGGGCGGAGGAGGTGCGTGGAGGAGGGTGACGCGGAGGGCTCGCGGGAGGAGGCGGAGGCAGAGGAGGGCAGCACGCGCGGAGGAGTGCGAGGAAGAGGTGAGCGAGGCGGGCAGAGGCGGGCCATGAGGTGGGCAGCGCGCGCGGAAGCGAACGATGCGGAGGCAGACGAGGCGGAGGAGGTGGGCAACGCGGAGGGGGGGGACACGGACGAGGACGAGGACGAGGACGGAGACGGAGGCGGGGGGCCGGGACGAAGCGGAGGAGGGGGAGTCTAGCGACGTGCGTAGATGTGGGCGGCGGGAGGTGGCACGGACGCGGACGCGGGCGACATGGAGGAGGTTGATGACGCGCAGGTGGGCGACGCGCGTGGAGGAGGTGGGCCGCGTGGAGGCGGGCGAGACGCAGCAGGACGAGGAGGAGGAGGGCGACATGGAGGTGAGGGAGGCGGAGGAGGGTGTGTGGGCGCAGGCAGGTTTGCAGGTGCAGGCGGGCAGCGCGAAGGCGGGCGGAAAGCAGCGCGGGGGTGGGCAACGGGGAGGAAGGCAGTGGTGAGGTGGACGCGGGGGTCAAGGCCGGCGGCAGGCCGGATGGGCGAAGCTGGAGAGGAGGGGTGGGCATTGGGAGTGCAGGAGAGCGGAGTGGGGGACTCACCAAAATGAGGGCCGCGGTACGTCGCCGCGGCCCCCTAATTCTAATTTCCATGCTGAGGACGTCCGGATGGACATCCTCGTGCGGTGTGGATGCAGTCGGCAAGGTGGGCGAAGGACGGCATGGAGGTCGAGGTTGAGGTCGAGGGAGGAGGAGGGGGGCGGGGTTGAACGGTGTCACCAGGTGACAGCGGAGTCCAATAGCAGACGAAGGACGACTGTATAGTCGCTATCGTCTGCCTGGACGGTGGTGGGGGCGGAGCAGGAGGAGGAAGAGGAGGCGGGGTAGGGGAGGAGGAGAGCAAGGACGGCGGGAGGGACGCGTGGTGTGCATCACAGCCACGCGTCGATGCGCGCCACGCGTCCTTGCCGCCCAACGAGGCGCGCCTCCACGGGCGCGCATCACGGATCGCCAGATCCGTCCAGATGCATCCGTAGCTGCCGATAGGCTATCGCAACGGATGCACCAGGGAAATCACCTGTGCTCCATGGGCACGTGCTGCTGAGAAGCTGCGCACCGCAGGCGTCGTAGTGCCAATCCTCCCTGACGTCGTCGTCCGACGTCGTCGCAACGGTGTGCGCTCCACCCCTACAGGGGTGCCCCGCCGCGTCCACCAGGACGAACTTGTAGTGTGCCCCTTTCACAAGCAGTTCAGCGGCCCATGCACACGCCGCTGTGCACGCGCGCACAAGGCGGAGGCAAACACATCCCATGTGCCAATGGTGACGCGGTCGCATGTTGTCTCACGCTCACGCTCCTGAGTCTCTCCAGCCCTGTTGAGCACATCACTCACGACTCATGTGTTTTGCGTGGTGCGTGCGCCGTAAAAGAACCAGGCGCCACCACACCTCTGCATACAGGCTCGCACAAACACTTATTGGGTCTCGCTTTCTTACCTACACCGCCTGTTTTATACACAAACCCCCACTCCATATGACTATAACTAGCTCTGTTTCTACGAACGTGATGTAAATGAGCTTAAATACATTGCGTGCACCCTTGAATACTCTGATTGAGCCTCATGTTGTGGCGTAAGTATCAGCAGCCAGTGCAATTTGGTAACACCTTAAGTACTTCAAGACTCAGCAACATGTCCCAGTACACAGCCATCTCACAGCCATCACCGTCCTCCAAGCGCACACCTACCACGGTCAGCTCGCCGTGTGCGGGGTCGGCGGCGTACAGCCCGGGCGAGTTGAACTGATACATGAGCCCGACCCTGCGAGCGTTCTGGACGATGGCGCGTGCGAAGGGGAGCCGGACGGCCTGGTAGATCTCCAGCACGCGCAGGAGGCGCGGCGGGTCGGTGAGTGGGTCGGTGAGGAGGGTGTCGGAAGTACGTATCCTGCTTGCACACGGCGCTCAGCACGGCGAAGGTAGGGGAGGGTGGGAGCGCACGGACCTCGATCGCTCGGCCTCCACCTGCACCGAAGTGGGTCGTCATTGCGTGCACCTACGAGAGCGCGACTGGGTGAGTGGTCGTGCGCATCCGCTATGGGCGCGGAATGCGCAAAGAGAGGGAGACGCAGGGCGATCATTTGGTCGACCTCGGGCTCCCGGGCCGCGAACTTGCGCACGACGCCGTCCCAGTTCGCGTCGAGCACCCACTTGTGCGGGTACTCGGTACCCTCTTGCCCGGGCCGCGTCACGAATCCGGTATCATCCAGTTCAGACATTACCCGTGCGAGATCGGGTACGTGATGATATGCTGTCACGCGGAATCAGTCAACCCTTGCGAATCTTCCCAGTAAATGTGCGAGCGCGCGCACCTTCCCTTTGCCAGAGCACTACGTACAGCGCGTCAGCCTCAAACGAGACGATTCCAGTCAGAAAAGCACTCACGCTCATCGGCGCCATCACATGTAGCGCATGGTGTGCGGGATTAACCTCACGCAGCCGCTCCGTCGGGATCAAGTATCGGTACGCGACGGGCGTGCTGTCCCCGTTGTCGCACTCCCGCGCGTGCTTGTGTGCATACATCGCGCAGCGCACCCCGGACTTGATCCCATCCGCACCGAGGAGGACATCGGCTGTCGCGTGGGTGCCGTCGGCAAAGTGCAACGTGTGTGCGTCGTTTGGGGAGGAGCGCGAGGGAGGGTCGTAAGAGATGAGGCGCTTGAAGCCGTGGATGGTGCAGCGCGCGGGGAGGTGGCGAACGAGGACGCGGACCATGTCGGCGCGGTGCATTGTGTGCGCACGAGCGTGAGCGTGGAAGAGTGCAAGCGACAGAGGAGGGAAACCAACCTGGCCAGACTCTGGCGCGCCCGAACTCGAAGCCCTCGCGTGGCCAGTCCGACTTGCGGAACACGAAGGCAGGCACTGGGGCGGATCTCAGTATCTTCTACAGTATATGTACCGTGGACTCACTCCACGCCTCCTCGCAGTCTCAATCATCCCCACCTGCTTGATGTTTGCTCCCTTCACCTTGATCCTTCATGTGCCCTTTGCTTTTCACCGCTTCCTGCATGAGCTCGTCGTGTAGTCCCAGCCTGAGCATGATCTCCCATGTCCAGGGCCAGAAGGATATGCCCACGCCAAGGGTGGTGATCTCGGGTCCGGACCCGTACATGTCGATCTCAAGGGGCGACGCCGGATGCTCGCACCGCCCGAAAGCAATCGCGAGTCTGAGGCCTGCTATTCCTGCACCGCTGAGGAGCAGGACACATCAGGCAAGATATTACACCGAAAAACGAGGAGGACGCACAGGATGGCCAGGCGGAAGCACGGTTGGTGGGTGGACCGTCGTTGGGCATGGCGACAAGCTCGTTCTGTCTCGGGCTTTCTTATCACCGCGCACGACCCTTATGACGGCCATCCTGTGTGTTGTTGTGCCTAAAATACAAGTTCCAATGAGAAGAAAATCTAGAAGATTACACGCCATGGGATTGACAGAGCATGTGACAGGAAACGGAGAGCAACGGAGGAACGGCACCAAGAGCGGTCGAGGACAGGATTGGGAGACACTCGTCCGCGGCAGCGAAGACTTGTGCCGCGGGACGACCACAACGCGCGCTTCTGAGGCGCTCGCGGGATGAGACGGTGGCGGCGGAGCGCATACCTCCTTCATCCCACCATCATGGCCTTCTCCGCGCGTCGCGCACCATCCGCATCCTTCCACCTCGCGCGACCGGGCATGCAATACCATCGGACGACGCCCCGGGACCGACGGCAGACGCTTTGCGTTCTGTTCTGACCTCCCACCGGGACTCGGAGGGCAGACGGTATGGAGGCTCGGCCACCACCTGAAACCTCGTGAACGAGATCCCGGACCAGGGCCACGACAAGACGGCAATATGGAGACGGCAGAACGCGGCGGAAGAGGGCCGATGACGAGACGCGGACGGCAACCAGGTGCGTCGTCTTTTGAATCCTTGACCGGCGAGCGCTGACGTCCATCCAGGCTCTAGTCGTCCACCCTGACTCGCCCTCAACTCGCGCATGTGCCGCCAGACGCGGCTGCGTGAGTACCTCCTTCATCCCACATGGCCTTCTCCGCGCGTCGCGCGCCATCCGCATCCTTCCACCTCGCGCGACCGGGCATGCAATACCATCGGACGACGCCCCGGGACCGACGGCAGACGCTTTGCGTTCTGTTCTGACCTCCCACCGGGACTCGGAGGGCAGACGGTATGGAGGCTCGGCCACCACCTGAAACCTCGTGAACGAGATCCCGGACCAGGGCCACGACAAGACGGCAATATGGAGATGGCAGAACGCGGCGGAAGAGGGCCGATGACGAGACGCGGACGGCAACCAGGTGCGTCGTCTTTTGAATCCTTGACCGGCGGGCGCTGACGTCAATCTAGGCTTTAGCCATCCGCCCCAACTTGGCCCGTACTCGTCCACGTACCATCAGACGCGTTGAGGATATCGTTGGCACAAACGACACCGGGTCTTCTCCATCCATACGCCCACGGTACCGTCGTCCCCGTGCGTTTAGTTTCTTTCTTTCTCGGTGATGGTCGCGTTGCTGACGTAGTTCGTGTCAAGGCCGAGTGATGAGTCGTTTGGGGACGATTCGTCGCTCTCCAGGTTGACAGGGAAAGGCTTCGGCAGATGACTCAAAGATCATCTGCAAAGCAAGCAGCTGGTTGGATGCGGTGAATCAGGCCTCAAGTCCCGCTGGTCGTCAAGCGCAACCACGGACGAACCCGCGGATGAACCGCTGCTCTGACAGGAGCGCACCCTCGATGACCTCTACGTTACCCTCGCTGAGGTCAAGCATCCGGGCGTTGATTCCTCCCAGCAAGGCTGTCGAGTTGGAGAACGTCGTACTCCGCAGGACAACGTTGTCGAGTCGACCCGCCCGAGGACGACGTTGCCGCCGAACCTCGGCCGTTCAATCACCTGCATCTGCGCCCACACGGCCCCAATCAGTCGTCGGACGACGGACGGAGTCCAGTGCAACCGCTGCCTCTCGCGGTCCCGAGGCGCGTGGGCAGCGAACGGCGGCTCATGCCCGTTCTATGACCGCCATCGCTGGAACGGGACGATTCGCAAGAAGCCCTCCTGGTTCTGCTCCTGCCTACCCAAGACCCTCCATCGCGTGCTCACGGGCCAGCCCACGCCGGCGTGGACGAAGGAGCACCGGCGTCTCAAGTTCGTATTCGCCTGGAACCTGGACGAGGACCGGCTCGACCGCGCTCGATGCGTTTGCGGCGTGCGCACACCCAGGCTACTCAACTTCCTGTAGGTCTAGTGCGAGCTTTGCCAGAAGCTGCGCCATGACGACCGCGTGTTCTTGCCGTGGGATATTCCTGTGTTGCGTGCGGAAGAACAGGCAATACGCCTTCTCGGAGGTACGCGTGAAGCACGTCGGTAAGTACCGCCAAGGTTTGTTCATGGATGGGTACTCAAAGTATGGCGCATTCCAGACAGCGCCGACCCGGCTGGAGACCTCGAGTAAGGACGTTACATATCAGCGACCGGCTCCTCCGGTGTGTAGCTGTTTCTATACGTGCGTGCGACCTACAGTTGACAATGGACATCTCTAGTCACCATCCCCCTGCGATTCCCATGCCGATCCGCAAGGAGGAATCTCCTCTCGACATATCGGCGTTCAGCCGAAGGACGAAGCGACCATGGTGGCTCGCGTGGGCATCGCCAGCGCCGTCCTGCATTGCGCCGGCTTCGGGTACCCGGCCGCCAGCTCTTCGATGCGCCGTCCCTATGTGCTGCAAGAGTTGGTCGGCGTCCTCGTGCGACGACCTGTCGCTTTGAAGGCCCGCACGGAACGCTCGACCGCGTCTGCGGCTTCGATCATGGCGCCCAAGGTCACGGCAGCCCCGTAAGAAGCGCAAGCCACAAGAACCACAAGCAAGCTCCGCGGCCCCATCATTCTCCACGCCGGCGCCTTCCAAGTCCCTTCTCCCTTACCGCCACCATACCCACAATGCGCGCTCGGACCTTACGTTCAGGGCTGAAGCTCCGCGAACGCGTACTCAGCATGGATGATGCACTCCGTGTCCCTCGTGTTCCAACGATTGGCCTTGAAGACGGCGTCGTCCGATATCGCCTGTTTGTGAAAGCCGAACCCCCTACCTCAACGCCAGTACAAGTGCGCCTCATGCCCGTAGGTTTCCCGGCCCTGACCCCGAGGCGATTTGGGCTGATGCCACGGCCTTCACAGAACACGACGAACGGAGCGCGTGATGCTGGAATTTTCGCATCACTGCGCCTACCTTCGCAGACTCGCATGCAGGGCGATCGCAAGCTGGTGAGTACGGGATTCATTCGCGCTAACTGTTGCTAGCGCCTTACTGCCTTCCCTTCTTCCGTTCCGCCCCTTTGCGTGCCGCAGGGATAAATGTCTCTGCCTGTCCTGCAGTCCTCAGGGCGATGACACGACGTCCCTGGGCCGGTCTGCCGAGTGGCGGCCACGAACTTTGAGCTACTGAGGCCCCCCTCTGCCGCCTGCAGCTGAAGACACCGGACTTCCCAAAGTTGCGACAGACGGCGCGCCTGCACAGCGTTTTCGGTCGGACGCTCCCCGCTGTATTGAGGGCGCTTTGGATTGCAAATTTTTTAGTCCCGACGAACGGCGACGTTGCAACAATTCACAAAAACGGCTACATTCGGGCGCGAGCGACCTGGCGAGCAAGTCAAATTGACACAAGAGCGCCGTCGCTCGTGCTCCGCCCGTGGAGACGGGCTACGAGAGTGTGGCGACTCGTGCGGTCACACATGCTCTTGAACCACCCGCCTTTCTCTACGACTCTCCGGGGTCCTGTGTCTGCCTCGACGAGTATGCAGAGCTCACCTTCAAGCTGAGGTACGTCTTGCCATTGATTTTGTATAAGTAGATGTGCTGAGAGACTCCATCCTCCACCCTCCCTCTGCTCGGAATCTTCGCCTGCTTTTTTCAAACGACCCCACCCACCATCATGGCTCGTCGCCGTGGTCCCCAAGCCCAGCCCCCGCCACCATCGTCCAACTCTCGACAAACCCGGAGTCGTGCCCGTCTTGAAGACGATCCCACCTCCATACCCGCAACCGCACCAGCACCCATACCCATACCCGCTGCTGTCCCTGCCCCTGCGCCCACGCCCGCTGCTGTCCCCACGCTCGCTGCTGTCCCCGCGCCTGCTATCCTCGCCCCCGCGCCTGTGCCCGCTCGCGCCCGTGCTGCTGTCTCTGCAGCCGGCGTTGGCGTCGACGCCGCCCCTTGCAAGCCCAAGGCTCGCCGTGCGCGGAAAAAACCCTCCGACAACCCCCCTCTTGCATCACCCTCGCCTGCCTCTGCCCCCGCCCCCGCCCCCGCCCCCGCCAGTGCCGTTGCCGACCCCGTTGTTGCCGCTCCTCAGCCCCCTGCTGTCCCCACCCCCCCGTCCGCCCCATGCCACGCTGCCACTGTTGCAGCACTGGTTTCTGTGGACGTGGCCCCCAGTTGCCACGACGGCGGTGCCGGCGCCACCGCCCCCCCTCAGAATGGCTGGGTTTTGGGTGCCACTGATGCCATCCGGGGTCTTTCCATGTCATCCCGGCTTCTTTCCCTTTCCGCCAACTCCATTGTCCTTTCAATCGACGCCATCGCCAGTGGAATTTCTGCGGTAGCCATAGCTCTCTCTCATCCTGCTTTCCCGGACCTTTCCCCCAATGAGTTTCTGCGGTCCTTCGCAGCACGTCTGAAGCTCTTTCTGACGCTGCTTTGTCTATCCCCTATGGTGCGCCTTCCACTCTGTTCACTCTTGCTTTCAGCTCTCTGATGACATTGGTCACAGCGGCAGTGCGTGCGTCCATGAAGCTTGAGGCCGCTGCTGCCAACTCTCGATTGGTCGCCCCACCTCCTACGGAGCTTCCCAGCGACGATCCTTTCACACCCAGAAACTCCTCTTTTACTCCTTCGTCCCCTCTCCGTCCCTCGTCCTCCGACCCCACTCTTCCCAGTCCGCAGACGACGCCGCCATTCAAGTTGTTTGCCGTCGAAGAGGAAGACGAGCTCGCTTCTGCGACCATAGGAACTCGCAGTTCCCCTGATAGATTGTGGGGAGCATTCAAATCTGGCCCGACGACGATGGCTCAGGCTCGCCAGAAGCTTTTGCTAAGATACGCCAACAGCGCTGCTCAACACGTACCGCATACCCGTATGCTTGTTTGCTGCTTTGTTTTAGTTTTTATTACTCACACTTTTTCAGGCCCCTCAATCTCACGACCTGAAGAGCTGACGTTGCAAGATCAAAGCCATGGTCCTGGCGATGGGCTGTTTTCCCAGTTTGACAACATGCATGTGAGCGCGGCCAATGAGGTCGCTCTCGACATTGCTTGCGATGGAGAAACTGCATTCGATCGCGTCCAAGACGACTTTGCGGACAGCGGGGATGTTGCAATGCTACAAGGTTTGACAGCAGCTCTCTCCCAGTTTACTTCATCAATGACCGTTTCACATTTCCTTCAGATGGATCGGCTCAGCCACTACCACTGGAAAGCTTTGGCCTGAACGTCCCCGACGACGATAGCGATGAGCAGGCAGATGGACCACTGCACAGCACCCCTGCCACACATTGGGGAATATTCTATTCTCAACTTCGGGACACGTTCGAACCCAATGCCCTGCCCTCCTCCATTGCCTCGTTCACTACGCAGTCAACTTACGTCTCGGAACCCGATCGTGCTTCGGCCGCGTCTGTGACGGCAGGCGCCGTAGTGCTGTATGGATTCGAAGTTCAGGCTGAAGACAGGTTTGTGAATTTGATTCTAGTCTATCTCATTGAGTGTACTCATTCGGTTTTCACAGCAACAGCAAAGAGCTTAAGACTGCTGCTGGCCATCCCTCTCTGGCCAGCCCCAGCGCAACTTCAGTCATCCCTGATGGCGTCCGTCGCAGCACTCGCCAGCAGACCAAGAAGGCCGACCCGTTGGCCAGGACCCTCAACAACGCTGTGGGGGGCACGCACCTGTCCTGATCACACATGTTCGCCACGGTTGACATGCGACTTTATTGCCTACGAAATTGGCCATGCGCTCACTGCTGGGCAGAAGCACATGCATGTGGTAGAGCTGTTCAACCAGCACCTTTCGTACGTTGTTGAGTCCCACACGCAGTTGTCGAAGACCTTCCCCTTCACCACAAGATGGCCCGTGACAACAAGCTTGGCCTGTCCTCAAGGTTCTGTGCCAGCCCCTGCCCGAGTCTCCATTCTCGCAAGCTCCGTTCCTGTTCCTGTTCCTGTTCCTGTTCCTGTTCCTGTTCCTGTTCCTGTTCCGGCTTCCTCTCCCGGTCCCCACTCTCGGTCCTATTCCATCTCATTCCCATTCCAGTGTTTGGCGTTCTCGCTCACGCATTGGTACCCTCTCAGACTTGATACGATCGTTTTGTTACAGCCCTTGCCGCCCTCCCAGCCCCTTGCCATGCACTTTTCCTCTACAGCATCTCCAAGATCATTTTTCTGTTTCCCCTGATAAGTTGAGCACGACACGACTAGACCGACCTTGTGCGCCGTAGCCAACTGCCTCATGCCGCTCCCCAAAATCATGTCGCCCTGTAGGCTACCTCTTCTGGTGATCTCACAGCACCATGGCCGTCATATGGGCTTGTTGTTGTTTTCCTTTACTTCTTGACCCATCCCGTCGTATGTACATATCTCGTTGATTAGAAGAAACTGCACAGCCAATAATGACATTGAATCGCCCGCGCGACTCGAGGTCTGTTCGAATGTCTTGAAGAGAGCGAGGTGAAGGAGGTCCACCGGAACGTGGCACACTTGAACACGAGCAAAAGGAAGGAAAAATAGCGCGGGACTCGGGCGCCCAGCCTCGTCGGCTCTGGCGCCCCGGAACGCGAAGATGGGATTTTGTTTTCCGACGGATGGGTAAAGGCTAAGGAGAAAATGATTCGAAAGATGGAAGGAGGGAAAGAGAGGTTCTGTGGCACTGAGGTGCGCCTTTTGATGTTACAGGGGTGGAACAGTTGCCGTCTCGGTGGTGGCCCTCGGAGGATGCGCAACGGTCATGAGGGTGTGCAGGATGACGGGGTTCTTGCGGATGTATCGTTGCCATGTGTCTGACGACCAACGTCCGAGGCCCTGAATGATGGGTCCGGGAACACCAGCGATCGCGAGGGCCGTGGCTCCGCCGGCGCGCATAGAGTGGCCAGAGACGCCATCGCGGGGGAAGATCGAGTGTAAGCGGTGACAAAACCAACTTCGGGTTGGTACAGAGCCGTTCGCGCGAAGCCAGAGCTCGATTTGGAACGGGAAGAGGATGTCGCGGGCTTGGAGGTAGGTCAGGACGATAGCCACGGGGTCAGGGCCGCGAGCGATGAGATTGCGGAGGACGATGTGATCGCCCTCAAAAGCGCGGTCGGATTTGTGTGTGGGTAGGGTAAAAGAGATGGTGCTAGGCCCGTCACTCATGGAGAGGGAGTTACGACGTGTGATCTTGCGCAGGCTACGTAGCTCTAGCTTGTCCGGGGCGACCATGTCTCCGAGACGCAGGAGGCAGTGAAACCCTGTGAATAAGAGCGCCATAAAGAGGCGGTCGTCGTACGAGCTGGGGGGGTGCATTGTTATTGCTTGCTGCAGGTCTGTCCACTCGAGGGCTGGTTTGCGGTGGATGGGTTTGCTTCGCATACGCATGCAGCCATGGAGCGTGCGCGTGACGAGCGGTTCGCGTCGTATCTGCCGAACGTTCGGGAAGTAGGTTTCAAGTTGGCTGCAGATGCCGGATAGATACGAGGTGATAGAGCGGGGTTCGATGTGATAAGACATGTAGACGATGTAGAAGGAGAAGGAGTCGACAGTGGGGGTGTAAGGGAACTGGTGAGCGTCGCAAAAAGCCAGATAGGAGTTGAGGTGGGAGGAGTATGTCGAGTGAGTGCTGGAGTCCAGAGCGTTGCTACATGCCAAGGCACGTTCACTGTATAGCCGCTCGATCGTCCACGGCTCCCGCAGGGGTTGCCGTGAACGATGGGGTTGCAGAGTCATGACCGGAAACCCCCCAGCGCATCTCGTGGGGGTGTAAATGTGACAATGTCGAGGTGGGGGTCGAGGGCGTAGGCCCGAGCCAGCTGGCCGCGAGAGAGGGCGTCTGCAACAGGGTTGTGCTCACCCGGAATATGGTCGATGCGGTAGGAACACTTGCAGGCTAGCAAGATGTCGACAGCGGAGGTGAGAATTGGGTTCATGTCCGGTGAAGCGGACAGTGTGGTGAACATGGAGACCGAGTTGGCACTGTCTGTGAGGATGGCTAGACGGCGGATAGAACGGCCAGCGGCGCGCCATCTTGGGAGGCGGTGAATTGCGGAGCAGATGGTGAGGGACTCGGTGGCGAAACTGTGAGACGGCGGGATCTGCGGGGGAAGGGGGGAGACGAGGCCGAGATGCCGCCATGGGAAGTAGATGCCCATGCCTGCTCCGGAGGCGTCGGTGATAACAAGCTCGTCTTCGGAGGAAAGCTCGTCGAGGTCAGCTGGTGTCCAGGCCTCAGTCGCGAGAATGCGGATCCCAGGAAGAGTTTGAATGTGGCGAAGAAACCACTGGAGGTCTCGCACAATGCCGTTGTTAATGAAAGCTTTCGCGTGAGGCTGCGATTTGCCAGAGATCTTGTCGTAGATATTGGCAAGACAGGGGCGGAGGAGGGGGAAGACATTGAGCGACCAGCTGATGTGCCCGGCAAGAGCTTGGAAGTCGTGGATAGTGCGGCGTCGGTGTGCGTCCGAAGAGAAAGAAACGAACTTCTCGATGGCGGTGATAAGGTTCAATTTCCTGTCTTCGGGAAAGGTGAAAGAGAAATCGTCGACGTCGACGAGAAAACCAATGTATGGCAGCTGTGGGCCCCAAAGCTGCTTCCGGCGGTCGTAAGGAATCCCGAGCTCATCGTAGAGTGAAAGGAGGCGAGCAAGAGGCGATGGGATGTGCTGCTGAAAAGGTTCAAACCATTGGAGGTCGTCCTGTGGGGAGCCAGACGCGCTGTCATCGACATAGTTCGATATGCGGTGTACGCTCCGCTTCTTCTCAGCAATCCATATCACGAGGGAGTTGAACGCCTGCCAACACTTCAGGGAGCCACGGTGACCGAACGGGAGGTTGCGGTCAACATGCCGGAGGTGGTCGATAGTGTTGATCTGTAGCAGCTGCTGCTGCGGGGCGACGGGGAGGTTGCGATAGGCGTGCGCTACATCTGACTTCCACAGCAGTAACGATACGTCAGGGAAGTCAGCCGCTACCTGCCGGAGGGAGTCTCCGAGAGCAGGCACACCGTCGAGGACGGTACCTCTGATGGACTCGGGAGGGACGAGTGAGTTGACGGAGTATTTCCCATACGAAAGGTGATTGATTAGGCGGAACTTGTCGGAGTTGGGTTTTGGGATCGCGAAGAGGGGCATGGCAACCATCCCAGGGAGAAGATCGTGACCGAAGGCAGGAGACCAACGGTCTGCGAAGACTTCTTCGTCTCGTTGCTCTCGGAGAAAAACCTGGGCTTTCTCATCGCGAGGTGGTGAGCCAGCGGCATCCCAAGTCGATGGATAGGTCGGTGGTTTTTCTTCTGTATAGGGCCAGAAGCCGTAACGGAGACTTCTGATTACTGAGCGCACAAAAGGTTGGTTGGGATGGTCGGACAGAAGCTCGGCAAAGCGGTCGACTTTGATAGGGGTTACAATTTTGAATAAATCGGGACGGGAAGTGATGGTCGCGGAGGCAATGGGATCAACAAGGTAGGACACTGGCGGGGACGGAAGGGGAGGGTGCGTAAGAGAGACGTCGGAGAAACGGTGCCTTGGAGCCGCGCGGTCGCCCCACGCGATGCCACGAAGGTAGCGCGGGACCGCGACTGTCTGCGGACGATCAGGCCGCTTGCGAAGGGCATTGGGACCTGGTATGGGCGCCGCGGCAGGCGGAACAGACGTGCTTGTATTTGCACGGGGACTCGTGAGACAGATTCTTGTTGAAACGGCGACAGATGTCGTCTGATGAGCCCCGACTACCGGCGGAGCCTTCGTTGGTTCCTCGGCTGGAGTTTGCTCTGCTTCGTCGTGATCCTGAGCCGGAGAACACGGTTTGCAGGACGTTCGCGCCTCCGGAATCCGTGAACTGGATGCGGAGGTCGTTGAACTCATAGGTGTCTGAGAACAGAAGCTGCCGATTGAGGGCGACACGCTTGCGCACGGCGCGGTCATAGTCGAGGACGCGATTGCTGAGGGAACTGTGAAGAGAGGCGAACTGGCCGGTGATGTGCTTGCCATAGGCGGCGCAGACAGGAGCGAGTTCCGGAAGGACGGCAGAGTAGGCGGCACTGGCTTCCTGCCACGCGATGAGCCAGTCTCCGCAGCCTTTGACGGTTTTGGAAGGTCGAGACGTTCCCAGAGAGATCTCGACGCCTTCGGAGAACTTGTGTTTCTGCTTCTCATCGGGTGATGTTGAGTATCGTCCACTGAAGACCTGGTCGAGGTCGACAGTTCGGCCTCGAAGGATGTTCTCCCATTCCGAGATGGGGAGCTCGGGGATCCCTGGAGTGTTAAGGAGGTCTGTGAGGGTGGTCTTGATGTCTCGCGCGAACATACGGTACTGCTTCTCAAGACGTTTGACGATGGGCGACACTTTGGTGACAGTGAGCGGAGGGTTGATGACCCAGGCGAAGGTCGATCTGTCGACAGGCTTCGACTTCTTTCGATCCGGCTCCTCTTCATCGGACGAGGAGTCGCCGTCGCGGTACCGAAGTGCGCGCTTTGCTCTGCGAGATGGTCCTCCTGATCCAGGTTCAGGGGTTCCGACAGCGTTGTCCTCGTCAGGTCGCACAGCGGAGATGTAAGCCTTTCGGCGAGGGTGCGGTGAGGCGACGTGTGTGGTCCGTGGTCCTCCATCCTCTTCCTCTTCCTCGGAGCTCGACGACTCGTCGTTATCATCTCCGCCGCAGGGAGGTTGACGACCGGCTCGGAAGCGTCCTCCGGAGCGGGAATCCCGAGTTGTGCTGCTCGTTGCATCGAGTCGTTTCTCTTGGTCAACAAGGTCGAGGCTCCTAGAGAATCCTTGAAGAGCATTCTCGATGTCCCCTTCAAGAAGACCGAGTTGTTCGGCGATAGGGCAGAAGAAACGGCTGAAGGCGATGATAGCCTTGTCTCGAGAGAAGGCGTGGTCCCGGTATTTGGATAACGTCTCTTCAGTGAACTCACGGACTCGGGCTTGGGCTCGCTGAGCCTCATCTCCAGTAAGGCAGGACCTGGGCGAGGTTGCAGCCTTTCCAGCAGAGGTAGACGGTCCCCTGACTGATTGTTCATTGGGCATGGGTGATTCGACAGATGGGAACAGAGTGATTGTATAGTTCGAAAAATGCTCGACTCGCGTCTGGCAGCAGCACGGAAGGTGTCAGCAAGACGGGACGAGCGCGAGGGAGCCAGGCCTGCTCACCTGGCAGCAGCACGGAAAGGTTGGGCTAGCACGGAGCCGCCTCGCGCCCTTCGACGTCTGCCCGGTGAGAGGGGCTCATGCCGCGTGTGCCGCAGGCTCATCGGGCGACCGTCAGGGGTCGTGGACCCGGGCTGTAGCGTGGGGCAGAGAGGCGTCGGAACGCAGGGCGTCATGGCGCGCGCGCGCCTCGGAGGCACACGGTGGTGCGCGCGTGCGCGCGCGAATTTCCCGGAGGGTGCGCAGCTGCTAGGTGAGCATAGCGAGCTCTAGGACGAAACGTCGCGGTGACGTGTTGGTCCGTGCTGGTCGAAACGGAGGTGAGCGGCACCGTCGTCCGCGCTCGTCCGGTTGAGTACGGGCTGGTTGATTAGAAGAAACTGCACAGCCAATAATGACATTTATTCAGTGCGCTCAGGGCGCTAAGGATGCTGTTAACAGTTAAGCGTTGCAGGTTGGACATCTTTCAAAACTGTGAGGACCACTCGGACCTTTAAGGACTGCTTATACGGAGGTCAGGTGTCGTCGTACCCGGGCACACCGTCCTTTGCAGGAGGAAAACGTATATATTGGACATCTACACAAGTATAGCAGACCATAACTCCTGGTCACTAACACAGCGCACATGTGAACTACGCAACATACGCTCAGGGAAAGAGAACCACATCTGGGGCAAAAGTTGGGCTCTCAAGCCGCGCAAATGACGTGCCCACAACACCTCGAGTCGTGTGGCTTGCAGTCAGGAGAGCTGCGCACCCGGTTCAGATGGATTGAAACCGCACAGCGGGTGGTCATTCGCCTACACGATCCTCGTCGGGGCACGGTTCCAGCTAGCGCGAATGGGTCCGCCTCTGCCAAGTGCTTTTGAAGCCGAATGCAAACACGAGCTGACGGCAGCAGCCCGAGGCTTAGCTTGTCGTGCCCGAGTGCGTGTTCAGCTACAAAACGTCGGCGGCGTCAACCCTCAGCGCGTTCAATTTCAAGTTGTTTCGAGGACTGGACGCACGGTTGACCGCCCGATTGGGTGCCTTTTGATCTTGGCGACGTTGACGAAGATGGCGGAGCAGCCGATGAACGCGCCTCCAGGAAGTTGAGCTCACGCACAGAACTCCGTTGATGACGCGTGCGCCGTACGCTAGACGAATGGAGCCGCCCGAGAGCAGACCGCAGAAGCAGGAATGCGATCGTCGAGATGAGGACGGGGTGCATGCGCAAGAGAGGGCCCCGGGGGTAAACATACCTGGAGGTCGTGGTAAGGGCTGAGGTATAGATTCTTGTGGTCGAGAACGACAGTGACGGTGTCCGCGCCTTCATCCTCGACGTACTTATACACCTGCACCGGCGACCGAGCAGCGCCACGAACTCGCCCACATTGAGCTCCACACGCGCCGTGGAATCCTCCCAGAAAGACGCCGCCGCGAGCCCTTCCGCGTTCTGCAAGCCCTTGCCGCTGGCCTTTGGCACCTTGTCATATGTACCGCGGGTGAGGTGGAGGAACGGCTTCGAGAAGGCAAAAGGGTATTAATAACATGGTTTGAGTCGTTAGAAGGGCGTCAAGGCGGAGGAGAGGATAATGCGAGGTCAGCATGATGGGACATTCAATCAAAAACACACCAGTGTTTCGGCTAGTGGCTTGTAGTAGGACCATAAACCATGCGGCCTTAGCAGCGGTGCATGGAGGGCGTCTGTATTGGAATATTGAAAGTCGATTTTGAAACTTTGAGGGGTGAGGTGCCGGGGTGACGAGAATATAAAGATAAGCACAAAGCTCACAAAGCAGAGGTACGGTTTTGCACTACAAAGTTCTTCAGAAAGAGGCTTGAAAGGCGCGGGGAAAAGTTCTTTGAGAACGGGTCAGAACGTGGACGCGAAGGCGAAAGTCGGGGAACAAACGGTGAGGAGTGGACTTCGAGATGCGAGACAGAGGGTCACGGAAGAGGATGAGTACTTACGTACCTGATCGAGCCCAGCAGTGGGAGCTGTCTCGTCGTCAGCAGGTGGAGAGTGAGTTGTGGCAAAGTGCACGTAGCCTGGTATGGGCCATTTGAACTCGTCCTGACTGGCCTGCTTCTCCGCTCGTGCTTCCGTGTGCCTGCCTTTCAGCGATGACAACACCTCATTTTCGAGTGAAGCATCCTCATAATCTCACTCTCATAATGTCTCACACCTGACGCTCTACCCACGCGGGTAGAGAGGACGTGTTCCGAGATATGAGGCGTACCGAGCAATACCCCCTCAACGACTTCCGACGACCCCGGAAGCCGGGGCGGCCTCCTGTGGAGCTCAGGTCTCGCAGTGTTCAGTTGCAATCGCAGAGCAAGCCGCTCACTCGTAGAAGAGATAGCAGCACGTTAGAATCGGGAACAGAGGCTGATAGAGCTCATGAACTTCGTCAGCACGTCGGGGTCCCGGAAAGCTAAGACGTCTCTTAACATTACTTCTCGTACGTAGTGTCATGGTTTCGCACAAGAGATGTTCGCTGAACGCATCACCACTTTATCTCACCCGGCCGACCCTCAAGCTCCCGCAGCTGGCTCCCCACCGCGACCACCATCCCATAATGCGCTCGTACGCCGTCTTCTCGTATTCGGCGTACCGCGTGGGGGCGTCAAGCTCCTCGTAGTGTGTCTTCACACGGGGTCTTTGCGGCCGCAGTTGGCATCGAGGACAGCGCGCTGGGTCAAGGTTGTAAGCGCGACTGCGGCATTGGCATACCAAGAGCGTTTGTTGTCGACGACGTCCGTCCCGATCTTGCCGACGGCGTAGTCAAGGAAGTCGTCCAGCACGTGGGCATACTCAGCACGTGGGCGTACTCGCCCAGAGGATGGACTCTGAGGGCGCGGAAGGGCGGCCGGAGAAGCCGGACTGGGGGATGCTGCAGAAGCAGCGACGGGGAGGTAGATGGAGTAGTAGGCGGTCTTGAAGATGAGCATGAGGGAGGCGTAGAATGTAGGAGACGGCCTCGACGTGGTACCGGTACGAGTGGTCGCGGTGGGCGATGGCCTGGTCTACCCCGAGGGAAAATTTTTGGAGCCGCGCATCAGCGAGGATTGCGGGGATCAAGAGAATCCGACGCACCAGCCCCAAAGGACTCCCCATCGGTGAGCGCGCTTCGGGTCCGAGAACCTCCGCGAATCGAGGACGGAAGGGAGGAAGACGGCGAGTAGACGGGCGCATTTGGGGGCCGCGGAAGAGGCGACGAGATTGGCTGCCGGCAGTCGTAAAACGAGCGGCATGGTCGTGCAGTGGCGTCGCTCGCCCCGCGCTGCGTCTTCCTAACAGCCCATCGCCCGTTTCCTGATCGGGAGCCTCGCGTCAATGGAGCCGTCGGGAAGTGCAGATGGTCTCGGCCTGTTTCGTTGCGGAAAGGGCGGACCCGACGGTGCTTGTAAAGTCGGACGGCAGATTGTGGCGCTGCCAGTACTCCATCTCGTGCTCGACGCGAGGCTTCAGCACCGCCCACGCGATCTCATGCAAGATCGCGCCTCCGAAACAAAGGGTCCGGTCCGGTCGAATGCAACAGAAAAATTGAGGAGAGAGCCGGATGTTGGCGACGCGGCTCGCGGGATATGGTCTGTTCCCATCTACTAAAGTCTGGCTCCGCCCTTGAGTCAGGCATCGGCGCCACTGGACGAATGCAAACAACAGGCTGGTGTCGGGATGAGCTCGGAAAAAGGCTGCGTCGATAACGGTATGAATGGACGTGCAGAGGGACGGGAAGGTAACTGACCTGTAGATACGAAGCTTGGTTTTTACTGAATGCGCGTTTGACGCTTGGCGGGCTGGTTCGATCATTCGTGTGACGAGCCAACCAAGCTTCGGATCGGGCCGAAACGTGTAAGACGGAAGGATGGAGGAGGGAGGAGGGAGAGAGCCACACCGATGCGAGACAACGACAGGACGACAGGTAGGCCGCGCGGCGTGAAGGCAAATCCAGCCTGCGGGCGCGGAAAGCGTCAGACGAGCGAGCGGCGGGTAGAGGATGTGAACTCACGTAGTCTATTCCCAAGGGAAATAGGAAACGCAACTTCAGCGGCACATACACACACGCGTGCTTCCGATCGCCCGCTGCCTGACGTCGTTGACGGCGTTGAGCCTCGGCCGGTGGCGGGCGGGGCGTGTGCAGAGACGACGCCGGGGGTGCCAAATAACGAGGGCCGCGGCGGGGTCCAACAGGGGTGGCGGAATGCGCGGATGGTCCGTTTTATAGGAGATGCTTGGGCGTCACGAGGAGACGAAGGGTGCTAGTTGGGCGTGGTGCACGCGACTGGATAAACTCGCTGTAGTACTGCCGCGGTGCTGGGCAGACCAAATGGCAAGGGCATCGGCCGAGGACCGCCGTGATTGAAGGGGAATCTTCTTCGAAGTCTAGTGGGCAAGCGGAGGCAGAGTATAGATTGGCAGACATGGGCGCGAGGATGGAGAGGGGAAGGACGGAGCAAGAATTGCTCTGCGGATGATCGGCAGGCGCGACTGACATAGAGGGCAGTGGGGCAGAAGACGGCATAGCGTTCACTGGAGGCGACCTTGATGGTACTGACGATGCGCGCAGATGACTTGTTCTCTGGGGTCGAGGACATTCCTACGATGCCTCCCGATGGAGCATTTGCGATTGGGGCTTCGTGCCACTCTTCCATGTTGACGACAATGCCGTCGCACGTGGTCGGGGACGACAGCGACAGCGTCTGGTCAGGATTGTGGCAGGGGACCGTGAAGAACAGGCCGAGCGTCCTTAGCGCATAACACGCGCCATGCTCTGGACGCCAAGTAACGCCCTCCGCGACGCCCCTCGAGATCTTGGCTTGGACGCGCGATGAGAGAGTGCCCGAAGACCCGAGGGCAAAATAACGCACCATATGCCAGGTGATCCGTCTCCTTCCCTCTTGCGGTGCGGCTCGAGCTCTTCTTCCCGCTCGCCCGAAAATGCACCAGGATGCCGCCAATGAAATCGTCAGGTATCTCATAGACTGGGCACTACAGGATCTCCCAAGCAGGTCTTCCAAGCCAGAGGATCAGCGCACGACTTGTCTACGCGCCAAAATCCGTACGCTCGGGCGGCCCTAACCTCTACGAGAAGAATGAGTGACAAGAATCGCAGTGGCTGAGAGACGTTGGCGAGACTTGCGTCGCTGGGCATGTTGGTGGGCACTGGGAATGAAGGAAGGAAGAACTCACGGAGTAGAAGAGTAACTGAGCCCTAGGTCCTGGGGCGTCGTCCGATGGTATTGCATGCCCGGTCGCGCGAGGTGGAAGGATGCGGATGGTGCGCGACGCGCGGAGAAGGCCATGATGGTGGGATGAAGGAGGTATGCGCTCCGCCGCCACCGTCTCATCCCGCGAGCGCCTCAGAAGCGCGCGTTGTGGTCGTCCCGCGGCACAAGTCTTCGCTGCCGCGGACGAGTGTCTCTCAATCTTGTCCTCGACCGCTCTTGGTGCCGTTCCCCCGTTGCCCCCCGTTTCCTATCACAGGCTCTGTCAACCTTCTTTTCGCCGCTGCAGCCATCATTCCCAATATCTATGTCCGGGATGCAAGATGCTCCATGCGCCCTCAAGAGCATTTATCGCGCTGTCTCTATGTGTATGGACTGTCACCGAGTGCTCCCCACTCTTCGTAAACTAGGAAAATCCAAGAAAACCGAGCAGCATCGCAAGTTGAAGCTGGAGTTGCATGACTCCTGCCGTTTCTTACGTACGTTCTCATTCTTGTTCTCGAATTTGCGGAAATATCAAGTTGGGACAGATCTCCGAAGTATTGTCGATGGAGAGCTGTCGTTCTGCAACTATGATCCTCCGTTTTCTCCTTCATTCCCGCAACCCAGCTATCGACGTGTCTTCAATCGAAAACTGGACCGGGCGACATACGACGCGCAGATAGTGAGTACGGTCCGTTTATCCTTCCCTCAGTTGGATAACAGCGTCGATAGGGAGTTGCTGCCGAGTATCTGCTTCCACTGCTAAGTGGGGAGCGAGAACACATCCTTGGCAAGAACGTGCTTTTCCGCAAACCCGCGGTCCACCACAGAGTCACATGCGGTACGTTTGATTCAATAAATCTGCACGGTTCAGCTTGATGGCCTAATTGTGAACAGATGGGTGCTCTAGTGATATATTCACCCATGCTTGGTTCTGTGCTGTATGCGGGGCTGAGCTTTGTGGGGAATGTTTTGAAGTGTTAGCGCATACATCCGCAGATGTGAGTCAGATTGCTTTTAGTTTGCCTGATCTCTAATTTACCAACTCTGGTGGAGTTCTTGGACGCGGTTCTATGCACTAGTGAAGATCTTTTGGCCCACACTCAAGCCACATTTCGTCCCATGACGAGATTCTCAGAGGTAGAGTTAGATGACATCATTCTGCAAATGAGTGAGATTGTTGCGGCAAGGTGCGTTCATTAAGCATCCTTCTGGCGGGGCCATCTCATGAGCCCATTTCAGATCTGGTCAGAGCGAGTGTGCACGGCCAGGAAGGTCTCCTGGCGATGCTATTGGCATCCCGGTATTCCAGGACGATCTGCTTGATTCGCGTCTCTTTCTTGCATCCTGGGGACGTAATGTCCCTGTGATTGTTAAAGGCCTCACTAACATCCAGGGATCTTGGCATCCTGATGTGTTCATTCAAGAATGTGGCAGTGAACAGGTGACGCCTATTGACTGTGCCACTGACTGTGACGTGGAGGCTCCATGCACAATTGCTGAGTACTTCCATGCTTTCAAGGAAGGTCAGTTTGAGAGCCCACGTAAACTCAAGGTCGGCTTGCTCGTTTATTGCATGACATAACATATTGATCGTTTGCAAAGGATTGGCCTCCAGCAGATCATTTCCAGACAAAGCTCCCTCAGTTCCATGAGAGCTTCGGACTTGCGGTTCCACAAGGTGCTTGTGATGTGGCTTTGCTGTCCGGTGTACAAAACCTTGCCATTTGGTACCCTCTGAATGGCAATCCGCCGGATCTAGGTGAGTGATTTAGGCATTTTATTGTTTTTGGCAGAGCTGACTGCATTTGTAGGCCCAAAAATGTACATTGCGACCGGCGATCCTCATAACTCCTACGGCACGACAAAACTACACCTGGACGTCACCGATGCAGTCAATATCCTCACCTACGCCCCCAATCCCTCTGAACCTGCAGCACTCTGGCATCTCTTCCCTCCAGAGAGTCTTTCTCGTCTCCGACAGTACCTGCTAGATGATGGTCACTGGTCAGCAGCACAAGGGGACCCTATACACTGTCAAAAGACTTATATCAGTGAGGATATGTGTAAGGCCCTGCAATCACGGTATGGGGTTCAGGCAGTTAGGATTGAGCAACATCTCTCCGATGCTGTTTTCATCCCAGCCGGATGGGCTCATCAGGTTTGTTGCGTCAAAATCCTTTGCTATTCAATGTTTCTCAATCTCACTCTCTGGATGCTGGCAGGTACTTAACGTCCAGAACGCGATCAAAATTGCCTGCGACTTTGTGTCCATTCAAAACCTTGGCGTCACCGTTAGCCTCATGGCTGAACAGCGGGCACATCGCATCCAGAGTGGCGGACATGGTCAAGATGTCTTGCAGCTTAGCACGCTCATGTGGCACACGTGGCGAGCCCTGACGACTTTCCCTCAGTCGTTATTGTCGTCGACAACAAAAATTAGGGACAGCGATGATCGGGTGGGGAATGGTCCACAGCTTAAGGATTAAAGAATCACGGCTAATGCGTATCATCTCAATTAGCCAGGAGCTCAAGACATATCCGATATGCATTCCGACGACAACATGTGCTCTGGCAGTATGGGCGAGGGATTGTCGGGCCCACCTCATCATGAGAACGGTGGGATCACCAGCCCTCGATTGCACACCAATAGTAAGAAGGAGGGCGTCATTCCCAATGCTCGCGATCTTCGCTGCTTTATTCCTGGATGCACAAAAATGCGGCTCCATCGGGCGGGTCTTCTGTGCCATCTGTAAGTCGTTCCACTATCCTTCAATTTGTTTCTGACAGAGCGCAAACTCAAGGCGGGATCTGCACAAGGAAGTACTCGTCGAGAAGGACATGAGAAATTTGCTGCGAAGGAAAGTTTATCAGTCGACGGATCACTTCCTATCGGCCTTGAGGGGGTACCTCAAGCCTTATGCCCGGCGCTTCCTGGACATAACGCGTCGCTGATCGAGTCTGAGGTACACATAATGAGGTACACATATTGATTAAAAATAGTGTTGCATATGCACAATGGGACGCTTTTGTGTGGAAGAACGGGATTGAGAGACACTCGTCCGCGGCAGCGAAGACTTGTGCCGCGGGACGACCACAACGCGCGCTTCTGAGGCGCTCGCGGGATGAGACGGTGGCGGCGGAGCGCATACCTCCTTCATCCCACCATCATGGCCTTCTCCGCGCGTCGCGCACCATCCGCATCCTTCCACCTCGCGCGACCGGGCATGCAATACCATCGGACGACGCCCCGGGACCGACGGCAGACGCTTTGCGTTCTGTTCTGACCTCCCACCGGGACTCGGAGGGCAGACGGTATGGAGGCTCGGCCACCACCTGAAACCTCGTGAACGAGATCCCGGACCAGGGCCACGACAAGACGGCAATATGGAGATGGCAGAACGCGGCGGAAGAGGGCCGATGACGAGACGCGGACGGCAACCAGGTGCGTCGTCTTTTGAATCCTTGACCGGCGGGCGCTGACGTCAATCTAGGCTTTAGCCATCCGCCCCAACTTGGCCCGTACTCGTCCACGTACCATCAGACGCGTTGAGGATATCGTTGGCACAAACGACACCGGGTCTTCTCCATCCATACGCCCACGGTACCGTCGTCCCCGTGCGTTTAGTTTCTTTCTTTCTCGGTGATGGTCGCGTTGCTGACGTAGTTCGTGTCAAGGCCGAGTGATGAGTCGTTTGGGGACGATTCGTCGCTCTCCAGGTTGACAGGGAAAGGCTTCGGCAGATGACTCAAAGATCATCTGCAAAGCAAGCAGCTGGTTGGATGCGGTGAATCAGGCCTCAAGTCCCGCTGGTCGTCAAGCGCAACCACGGACGAACCCGCGGATGAACCGCTGCTCTGACAGGAGCGCACCCTCGATGACCTCTACGTTACCCTCGCTGAGGTCAAGCATCCGGGCGTTGATTCCTCCCAGCAAGGCTGTCGAGTTGGAGAACGTCGTACTCCGCAGGACAACGTTGTCGAGTCGACCCGCCCGAGGACGACGTTGCCGCCGAACCTCGGCCGTTCAATCACCTGCATCTGCGCCCACACGGCCCCAATCAGTCGTCGGACGACGGACGGAGTCCAGTGCAACCGCTGCCTCTCGCGGTCCCGAGGCGCGTGGGCAGCGAACGGCGGCTCATGCCCGTTCTATGACCGCCATCGCTGGAACGGGACGATTCGCAAGAAGCCCTCCTGGTTCTGCTCCTGCCTACCCAAGACCCTCCATCGCGTGCTCACGGGCCAGCCCACGCCGGCGTGGACGAAGGAGCACCGGCGTCTCAAGTTCGTATTCGCCTGGAACCTGGACGAGGACCGGCTCGACCGCGCTCGATGCGTTTGCGGCGTGCGCACACCCAGGCTACTCAACTTCCTGTAGGTCTAGTGCGAGCTTTGCCAGAAGCTGCGCCATGACGACCGCGTGTTCTTGCCGTGGGATATTCCTGTGTTGCGTGCGGAAGAACAGGCAATACGCCTTCTCGGAGGTACGCGTGAAGCACGTCGGTAAGTACCGCCAAGGTTTGTTCATGGATGGGTACTCAAAGTATGGCGCATTCCAGACAGCGCCGACCCGGCTGGAGACCTCGAGTAAGGACGTTACATATCAGCGACCGGCTCCTCCGGTGTGTAGCTGTTTCTATACGTGCGTGCGACCTACAGTTGACAATGGACATCTCTAGTCACCATCCCCCTGCGATTCCCATGCCGATCCGCAAGGAGGAATCTCCTCTCGACATATCGGCGTTCAGCCGAAGGACGAAGCGACCATGGTGGCTCGCGTGGGCATCGCCAGCGCCGTCCTGCATTGCGCCGGCTTCGGGTACCCGGCCGCCAGCTCTTCGATGCGCCGTCCCTATGTGCTGCAAGAGTTGGTCGGCGTCCTCGTGCGACGACCTGTCGCTTTGAAGGCCCGCACGGAACGCTCGACCGCGTCTGCGGCTTCGATCATGGCGCCCAAGGTCACGGCAGCCCCGTAAGAAGCGCAAGCCACAAGAACCACAAGCAAGCTCCGCGGCCCCATCATTCTCCACGCCGGCGCCTTCCAAGTCCCTTCTCCCTTACCGCCACCATACCCACAATGCGCGCTCGGACCTTACGTTCAGGGCTGAAGCTCCGCGAACGCGTACTCAGCATGGATGATGCACTCCGTGTCCCTCGTGTTCCAACGATTGGCCTTGAAGACGGCGTCGTCCGATATCGCCTGTTTGTGAAAGCCGAACCCCCTACCTCAACGCCAGTACAAGTGCGCCTCATGCCCGTAGGTTTCCCGGCCCTGACCCCGAGGCGATTTGGGCTGATGCCACGGCCTTCACAGAACACGACGAACGGAGCGCGTGATGCTGGAATTTTCGCATCACTGCGCCTACCTTCGCAGACTCGCATGCAGGGCGATCGCAAGCTGGTGAGTACGGGATTCATTCGCGCTAACTGTTGCTAGCGCCTTACTGCCTTCCCTTCTTCCGTTCCGCCCCTTTGCGTGCCGCAGGGATAAATGTCTCTGCCTGTCCTGCAGTCCTCAGGGCGATGACACGACGTCCCTGGGCCGGTCTGCCGAGTGGCGGCCACGAACTTTGAGCTACTGAGGCCCCCCTCTGCCGCCTGCAGCTGAAGACACCGGACTTCCCAAAGTTGCGACAGACGGCGCGCCTGCACAGCGTTTTCGGTCGGACGCTCCCCGCTGTATTGAGGGCGCTTTGGATTGCAAATTTTTTAGTCCCGACGAACGGCGACGTTGCAACAATTCACAAAAACGGCTACATTCGGGCGCGAGCGACCTGGCGAGCAAGTCAAATTGACACAAGAGCGCCGTCGCTCGTGCTCCGCCCGTGGAGACGGGCTACGAGAGTGTGGCGACTCGTGCGGTCACACATGCTCTTGAACCACCCGCCTTTCTCTACGACTCTCCGGGGTCCTGTGTCTGCCTCGACGAGTATGCAGAGCTCACCTTCAAGCTGAGGTACGTCTTGCCATTGATTTTGTATAAGTAGATGTGCTGAGAGACTCCATCCTCCACCCTCCCTCTGCTCGGAATCTTCGCCTGCTTTTTTCAAACGACCCCACCCACCATCATGGCTCGTCGCCGTGGTCCCCAAGCCCAGCCCCCGCCACCATCGTCCAACTCTCGACAAACCCGGAGTCGTGCCCGTCTTGAAGACGATCCCACCTCCATACCCGCAACCGCACCAGCACCCATACCCATACCCGCTGCTGTCCCTGCCCCTGCGCCCACGCCCGCTGCTGTCCCCACGCTCGCTGCTGTCCCCGCGCCTGCTATCCTCGCCCCCGCGCCTGTGCCCGCTCGCGCCCGTGCTGCTGTCTCTGCAGCCGGCGTTGGCGTCGACGCCGCCCCTTGCAAGCCCAAGGCTCGCCGTGCGCGGAAAAAACCCTCCGACAACCCCCCTCTTGCATCACCCTCGCCTGCCTCTGCCCCCGCCCCCGCCCCCGCCCCCGCCAGTGCCGTTGCCGACCCCGTTGTTGCCTCTCCTCATCCCCCCAAGGCCCCCGCTGCTGTATCCTCTTCTCTCGCTATACCCGTCGGCCCCACCGCTGTCAAGCAGAAGCCTCGTAGTACGCAGGGAGACCCTTCCGGCCGACGCGTACTGGCTCATTCCGAATCATCGAAGCCGTCAACTTCCCCCAACATCCCCGCTGATATTGGACTGGCCTCCGTTCAGCAGGCTACTCCCTTAGGTACAGCAGGCCTCAGAGGCCCTGTCACTCCCCACCCTACTTCTCCCGACAAGGAGGCTGCAAACACCTTGGCGACATCTCTCGCTCGGCATGAGACAGGAGAGATCGCCGTCTATCTTGCTGCGCAGCCCGAGGCAGTGCTCGCTGACCGGGCAGGGCCAGCCGACAATCCAACGGCGGCTCCAACCACCACGAGCGCACTGCCTGCTGCCTTTATTACTTCCAAGCCACCGATGCAGCCTAGCCCCACGAAACTCGTGTCCAGATACCCCAATGGTGCTGTGGGGCATGTATAGCGTACCGGTATGTCTTCCTGTGTTACTTCAACGCTTTTTACTCAAACCCAGTAGGACCCCAGATACCGATGCTCCAAGCCTTGCTGGAAAATGAAGGCCATGCGGGTGAGGGCTCGATGCATGTTTTCCACTCTAAGAGCTTGGGCTACGACGGTATGTTTATTCCGCTCTCTACCCATCCATGTCTCATTCCTGTGCCAGGGTTAGAAGATGCAGCTCTGCAAGATAGTCCGAGGCAGATGAAGGCTCTTAAAGCTTGGTCCCTTGGTATGTTATGGTTTATCACGCCTTACATTAGCGTAGTTCACCTGCTAATTCACCTCATAGCCTCCAAATCCTCTGCTCCGCGCAGGGACTTCTTACTCCCCCATGGCGATGAGGATGGCGACGCCGAACAAAGCTCTCCAACCAAGCGTCGTACACAGTGGAAGCATACCAAAAGCACCGCTGCTGCCCTCCCCACACCTGCTGTTCAAGCCATGAGGCCTGCTGCCACCACCGCCCTCACAAACTCTAGCACTGCTTTCATGCGCTCCGCCGTCCCTGACGTCTCCTTGCACCCCTCCACCCTCGCTGTCTCTGGTGGCACCCATGCTGCTATCGTCGCCTCTGCCACCCCTGCCACTACCACCACCTCCTCCACCAGTGATATCCATGTTGGCAGACCCCCTTCCCCCTCTGTAGCCGTCGGTAACGGCGGTACGACCCCGTCATGTTGCCGTCGGTAACGGCCATACGAGCTCGTACGAGCTCCGGTCGTGTAGACCGTCGGTAACGGTCGTACGAGCTCCGGTAGTGTAGCTGTCGGTAACGGTCGTACGAGCGGTGGTGGAGAAGTAATATACAATGCCAAATGTATCATTCTGGCTGTCGTTTGCGTGCCTTGAGGTCCTCTAGTGTGCTACATACGCGCAAGAACATCCCGCAGCCCCAGGGAAGCCAATACCAGGCTGATATAGCAGGGGATGCTGGTTCCGGTAGTGGCACGTCCCACTGCGTACATTGTGCCCTACTGCGCCGTACGTTTCGGTAATGCGTTCGCTACGTTCCCCTGGGTCGTACGAGCTCGGAACAGTCGTTTTTATCCCCGTGCGTGCTGTGGTTGGCCCGGGGCATTGAAAACACTGCCCAGACTCGTACGAGCCTGTAGCCGTCTGTCACGGTCGTACGAGGCACCTCCGGTGTGCACCCGGAATATTGCGGTAATGGATTCGGCAGATGCGCGCGAGTGCACTGAACGCAGCGCACTCAATTTCGTTGCGATGCGTGCCATGGTTGGCCTGGGGTAACAAAAACGCTGCCTAGGCTCGTACGAGCCTGTAGCCGTCTGTCACGGTCGTACGAGGCACCTCCGGTGTGCACCCGGAATATTGCGGTAACGGATTCGGCTTATGCGCGCGAGTGCACTGAACGCAGCGCACACAATTCCATTGCCGTGTGTGTTGTGGTTACAGAGGGAGAGTCAGAACAGTGCTCAGGCTCGTACGAGCCTGTACCCTGTCTCAGACAGTCGTACGAGTACCTCCAGGAGAGCGGACACCCGGAGATCTCGGCAATGCATGGCGTGCATTGCCGAAGGTTACCGGAACACGGTGCACTTTGTTTCGTCGCTTTGCACACTGTATTTAAGGCAGGAGAGTCGAAACAGTGTGCAGGCTCGTACGAGCCTGTACCCTGTGTGAGACGGTCGTACGAGTTGTTCCCTGGTGAACCTCGTTTTTTTTGTTGATGCTTTCGGTAGATGCGCACGGATAAGCTGAGAATACCGAACTCAATTTCATTGCTGTACCTGGTGTAGTTAAGGAGGTATTGTCGAAACAGTGTGCAGACTCGTACGAGCCTGTACCCCGTCTGGAACGGTCGCACGAGGTGCTCCTGGTGGGTATCAAAAATTTCCGGTAATGCATGCAATGCATTGCCAGAGATCACTGGAACACAGCGCACTTTGTTTTATTGCTGTGCGTGGCATGGTTAAGGTGGCGGAATTGAAACACTACAGAAGCTCGTACGAGCTTGTACCCTGTTTGAGACGGTCGTACGAGTTGTCCCCTGGTGAACATGGATTTTTTCGGTAATGGGTTCGGTAGATGCGCACGGGTGTGCCGAGAATAGCGCACTTAATTTTAGTGCTGTATATGCTCTGGTTGTGGCAGCGGAGTTCAAACAGTGCAAACACTTGTACAAGGTGTCCTCCGGTAAACACCCACTTTTTCCGGCAGTGCATTCATTACCGAGATTCCGGCAGTCCCTCCATTACCGAGTGTTTGGTCATCTGTGTGTATTACCACTCTCACAACCGAGGTTTTGACCACCTGTGCATATTACCGCTCTCACTGCCGAGTTTTTGATTGCCTGTATTCATTACCGAGTTTTTGATCACCTCCGGACTTCAATGCCGAGTTTTTGACCACCGGTATCCATTGCTCGTCCTTCCGACTCCTCATTACCGAGTTTTTGGACACCTCCAGCCTTCAATGCCGAGTTTTTATTACTGAGGTCTGTAATCCCGGTGCTCACTGCCAGTGCTCTCGCTGACCTCTGGCCTTCAATGCCGAGGTTTGAATACCGAGATCGGTAATCCCGGTGCTCACTGTTGGTCCTCCGGCCTTCAATACCGAGTTTTTGTTACCGAGGTCGGCAATTGTGCTACCAGTGGTGCTCACTGTCTCAAACAGCGAGCTCACTGTCAGACACAGTGAGCTCAACATGTTACCCATCTCTGTATCTGTCCCTCATTTTTTTGGAATGCACCTCTGCATCACATCTGAATGTATTGCAGCACATTACAGCATATTTATATGAGTTGGTCTGCCTGTACTGAACACCTTCTACCTGAGAAGTCACCCTTCACAGCAGCATGTGTAGATGTTATTTCACCTCGCTGTTTTTTGGATCAGGGAGGAGCATGCAAGAGCTGTGGGTTTGCAAATTTGGAGGGCAGTAGCTGCAAAAGTGAGAGAACAGTGTGGTATGATATTTTAAAATGACATACCACACACAGAAATGGGATGGGAGTGTATCACATTCCGAACACCTGGATATATTCATAGACGATATTATGAATGCAATGCAGAAGAGAGCGCACAGAAATCAGGATTTCTGGTGAAGATACAAGATATGTGTGGAAAGTGGAAGTTCTGAGAAAACACGACATGCATAAGTTCATGTGCAGACATGATATCAACATGCTGTTTGCTGCATCACAATTGGGTACTATTGGGGTGCTCAGATCGGAATTTCCAAGCTTATCGGTGATGAGATGTATATGGGGCATCATATGTCATTATTTCATGACATACAGTATCCTGACACAGCATATGCTCCGATTAGAATGCGAAAACATGGAATAGAACAGGGTAGAGCATAGCTATCCAACGCAGAAGAGACCTTGAAAAACGGTTGAGAATCAGTGGAGATGTGCAAGGTGAGCCAGAAGTGTGGTTTATGCTGAATGTGCTCCAACCACGCTTTCCACTCCAACCACACTTCTGGCTCACCTTGCACATCTCCACTGATTCTCAACCGTTTTTCAAGGTCTCTTCTGCGTTGGATAGCTATGCTCTACCCTGTTCTATTCCATGTTTTCGCATTCTAATCGGAGCATATGCTGTGTCAGGATACTGTATGTCATGAAATAATGACATATGATGCCCCATATACATCTCATCACCGATAAGCTTGGAAATTCCGATCTGAGCACCCCAATAGTACCCAATTGTGATGCAGCAAACAGCATGTTGATATCATGTCTGCACATGAACTTATGCATGTCGTGTTTTCTCAGAACTTCCACTTTCCACACATATCTTGTATCTTCACCGAAATCCTGATTTCTGTGCGCTCTCTTCTGCATTGCATTCATAATATCGTCTATGAATATATCCAGGTGTTCGGAATGTGATACACTCCCATCCCATTTCTGTGTGTGGTATGTCATTTTAAAATATCATACCACACTGTTCTCTCACTTTTGCAGCTACTGCCCTCCAAATTTGCAAACCCACAGCTCTTGCATGCTCCTCCCTGATCCAAAAAACAGCGAGGTGAAATAACATCTACACATGCTGCTGTGAAGGGTGACTTCTCAGGTAGAAGGTGTTCAGTACAGGCAGACCAACTCATATAAATATGCTGTAATGTGCTGCAATACATTCAGATGTGATGCAGAGGTGCATTCCAAAAAAATGAGGGACAGATACAGAGATGGGTAACATGTTGAGCTCACTGTGTCTGACAGTGAGCTCGCTGTTTGAGACAGTGAGCACCACTGGTAGCACAATTGCCGACCTCGGTAACAAAAACTCGGTATTGAAGGCCGGAGGACCAACAGTGAGCACCGGGATTACCGATCTCGGTATTCAAACCTCGGCATTGAAGGCCAGAGGTCAGCGAGAGCACTGGCAGTGAGCACCGGGATTACAGACCTCAGTAATAAAAACTCGGCATTGAAGGCTGGAGGTGTCCAAAAACTCGGTAATGAGGAGTCGGAAGGACGAGCAATGGATACCGGTGGTCAAAAACTCGGCATTGAAGTCCGGAGGTGATCAAAAACTCGGTAATGAATACAGGCAATCAAAAACTCGGCAGTGAGAGCGGTAATATGCACAGGTGGTCAAAACCTCGGTTGTGAGAGTGGTAATACACACAGATGACCAAACACTCGGTAATGGAGGGACTGCCGGAATCTCGGTAATGAATGCACTGCCGGAAAAAGTGGGTGTTTACCGGAGGACACCTTGTACAAGTGTTTGCACTGTTTGAACTCCGCTGCCACAACCAGAGCATATACAGCACTAAAATTAAGTGCGCTATTCTCGGCACACCCGTGCGCATCTACCGAACCCATTACCGAAAAAATCCATGTTCACCAGGGGACAACTCGTACGACCGTCTCAAACAGGGTACAAGCTCGTACGAGCTTCTGTAGTGTTTCAATTCCGCCACCTTAACCATGCCACGCACAGCAATAAAACAAAGTGCGCTGTGTTCCAGTGATCTCTGGCAATGCATTGCATGCATTACCGGAAATTTTTGATACCCACCAGGAGCACCTCGTGCGACCGTTCCAGACGGGGTACAGGCTCGTACGAGTCTGCACACTGTTTCGACAATACCTCCTTAACTACACCAGGTACAGCAATGAAATTGAGTTCGGTATTCTCAGCTTATCCGTGCGCATCTACCGAAAGCATCAACAAAAAAAACGAGGTTCACCAGGGAACAACTCGTACGACCGTCTCACACAGGGTACAGGCTCGTACGAGCCTGCACACTGTTTCGACTCTCCTGCCTTAAATACAGTGTGCAAAGCGACGAAACAAAGTGCACCGTGTTCCGGTAACCTTCGGCAATGCACGCCATGCATTGCCGAGATCTCCGGGTGTCCGCTCTCCTGGAGGTACTCGTACGACTGTCTGAGACAGGGTACAGGCTCGTACGAGCCTGAGCACTGTTCTGACTCTCCCTCTGTAACCACAACACACACGGCAATGGAATTGTGTGCGCTGCGTTCAGTGCACTCGCGCGCATAAGCCGAATCCGTTACCGCAATATTCCGGGTGCACACCGGAGGTGCCTCGTACGACCGTGACAGACGGCTACAGGCTCGTACGAGCCTAGGCAGCGTTTTTGTTACCCCAGGCCAACCATGGCACGCATCGCAACGAAATTGAGTGCGCTGCGTTCAGTGCACTCGCGCGCATCTGCCGAATCCATTACCGCAATATTC